AACAGTTGAGGAATGCCTAGCAAAATATATCACACGATGAGATTATAAATCTTTAGCACTCCTTAGCTCAACATTTCCAAAGCATCCCTTGCCACCAGAGGGTTTCACCATGTGCGATTGCTAATCACTGATTGTTCCTATGGCCTTGAAATTTTAATTATTTCATTACCTGTGTATGAGCTTTACGCATATTTAATTTCAATAAAAGCAGTCAGTTACTCCAATGGTGCTTACTTTGTTTTTCAAAGGAATGTTGATTTTACATGCAAGGAGGGAAAAATTTAAACATCTTACATTATAAATTCTGTTTAATAATTTCAGAATCGCTCGTATTTATTAAAATATGCACCCAACAAAGTCAGTCTACTTGATTTTCTTTTTATAGCTAACCATTTCCTTTTTTAAAAAAGTTTGAAATTCATGAAGTAAATCAATCATCTCACTGTATCCTATATTATGACCTAATTGTTTTAACTTCTTGACAGAATATATGCTACATAAATAAGAGTATTTTCAGGGCTGGATTAAGACTTTTAGAGGGCCTGCACACTAAAAAATTTGCTGCCCCCTCACCCATATTCATGCCAGCTTTTTCTTCATTCCTTCTCTCTCTCGGTTTGGTTTAGTTTAGCCATACTCCATTATATAAAACAGACAGAAATTTTTCGGTGTCCCCTTTCCTGAATACCTAAAACGCTTTTTTTGTCGTGCCCTCTTTCCTTGACGGCCTAAGCACATGGTTATACTGCTTAATAGTAAATTCAACCCTGAGTATTTTTTTTATATTTTTGCATAATAAAACTACCAAGCTGTCATTAACTGTAACTAAAAGCTAATGCACCAGTTGATCATAATTGCTGTAAAGTAAATCAAACATTTTATTAGTGTCAAATATCTATTGCTCTTTTATGCTGCAGTCCATTACAAAAGATTGGAAGAAGCATCTGCAATAAATTTTAATGATGTTTCAAAATTTATTGCTTTTACTTTGTTTCACAGACGTCTTAATATGAAATTAATCACAGAAGTTTTCTGAAACACACATGCATTAAGCTCTCAGTTTTGAAATTTACTTAACTGGCAGCTATAAAATCAAAAACATAAAAGAACTACACTGCCAGCATTTGAACATTGATTTGATACAACACCAGGGGCACAAAGGAAATAAGAAAAACTAGTACAGTACAAAATCCAAAATAATCAGACATCTGGACCTTCAGCCCACCATCTGAGATTACCGTTCTTCACTTTAATGACAAAACATTGATTGATGGATATTTGTAATAAAACTAGCATTCAGCTGCCAATTCTTAGCAGCAATTTCCATTTGCCTAAGTTTATTCCATGAAGCAGCCTGATGGGTTAAGTTTCATCAGGTCATCTTATAAGAGAATCTGAAAAAGAAAGAGAGGGGCACTCTCACCTCTGTAAAAGTTACTGCATTGTAAAAAAGTGATCTGCTGTGCACAGGAGTAATTTCAGCTAGAGAGGGTGGTGGGCATCCAAGTTTGGAGAGTAGTTTCTGGAGAAAGCATTGGGCACATGATCTCAATTAACAACGAGAACCCTTGGCTTATTGTTCAATAAAGCACAAAATGAGAAAAATATTTGAGGCAATAATGCAGTAAGTCAATTTTTTATGTGAAATTCAGTATTAAAATAATTACTCACTTACTTTCAACACATTAGAGGTCATAAAATCAACTGTTTCATAACTTTGCATTTTGTTTCCAAAGGAATTATAATATTGATTAGCGTTAACCACGAACACACTTTGGTCCTTGAGTGGTTGTGGAGGAGCATGGTACATCTATACATCTGATTTAAATAACTGATACACCAAGACTTTATTGTTTGGAATGGGGTGTTGCTCATATGTTTTCTTTTGCTTCCATTGTAGCGAGAAGAAATGGAATTAGATCGTGAAGAACTTGACTTAGGAAATTGTTAACATAGGAAATTGTACTCCACCTTAACCTTCTAGTTTGATCCAGCTTATAATTATTTATATGCTATTATTATTAGAGTTATCATATCAAAATTAAAGTCTGATATTTTGCTTATGCCAAAAGAGTTTCTAATTCTGGCGTTGTCCCAGGATCTGCAAAGCAAACTCTTTTATTTGATATTTCCCTCCTATAGCCTTGATATAATTCATCTAATAAAGTGCAATTTCAAAACTAAGGCACAACAATAACTACTATTATTTCTACCTTTTGAATGCTATAGAAGGTGAAATTTTCCATGTAATGGAATTCGTGAAGAAATAATAATTGAAAATGATATAAAATGGAAGTTTTCCATTGCAATGACAAGGGCCAAATCAACATTAACACACTGCAAAAATCTCATTTAGTCTTAGATCCAGATAATACCACTACTGGTAATGAAGAAAGTGACAAAGGGGTTTTTGAGAATGAAAAAGTTTTGACTGGCAATTTAGAGAGAATTCTTGACATGGCAGTTACAGGGCTTCAACAGTGGAACAACAAGAAATTATGTTGGTCTACAAAATTAAAGAGTGTGTATTAGAACACATACAAAAAGAACTACATTGAAAGAAATGTTTATTAGAACAAATAACAAATTATTGACCTTTTTTTGGTAAATTTTGATCTCCTCAAGTTCATAAATGCTTCATTATTTCATAAACAACTATTTCTTAGTTTGATTTTATAATTTCAAGATATTATCTTGCTAGATGATCTAAAACATAAAATTTTCAAAACCTGCAATTGCCAAAGTTCAGATGCAATGTCATGATTATTTTACGTATGCCGTATTATTATTGGCAAATTGAGTTTATACAATAAATTGCTTCACACTGAGAAAAGAAAAATTTATGATCCAGAAGTGATTAACTATAGTTTTCCATAAAATAAGTTCTATGCATTAGTAACAACTGGAAGTATAAAGCCTTGATACAGTCAGTGAAAGTGAAACTAAGGTGGTTATCATAGTATGTATTTTAATGGTCTATTCACAGCTGTTCTCAACCTTTTGACTAACACGTACCATCAAACAAAAATTCAAAACATTTAGTACCACCACCACAAAGTACTACTACCACCTCCACTCTTGAACAAAGCTCGGATAGCATGAATTTACGAGTGTTAAGAGAAAAAACAAAATCAGCATGTTGGGGTTTTATTTTTTGAATAGTTAAATACTTTGCTTCTTTGCATAGCACATTTTTTTTCTTGCGTACCACCAGTGGTTGAGAACCCCTGGTCTATTAGGTTAGAAGTCATCCTAGAGAATATTATTATTTATTTATGTACTCAGAAATACTTTAACAGGCAGTTACAAGTTTTACCATAATCAGATAAAACGTTCATAACTTTAACATAATCATCTTTATTACTTTTAATTTTTTATTATTTGAATTATCATGGCTTAAACTTCATATTTTAGTATTTAATCATTGAAATTATAATTTATACATTTATTTAGAGTTGAAGCAAAAGTTACTTCCTGTTTTGAATACCATCCCTTTCCTCCCCTTAAATTAAATCTGAAAATAATCCTATGGTGATAAACAACAACAAAACACTAACACATAAATTATTAGAACTAAAAATTTACTCCAAATTGTTTCATAGGTTGTTTATTTGTTTTAAATTATATAAAAATATATCAAATACAAATGTTGTTGCAATATGTATAAATAAAAGAAATGAATACAAGTTATTGTTTCTGATTAAAAAATTAAAAGACCACAATTTCAGAAAAAAGGAATTACGTACATTAATAAAACAGGAATAAATTGTTCAACACATGTAGACTGCACACAAATCTCATTAAAAAAAAAAAAAAAAAAAAAAAAGACTTTACATTTTTAGGAATTTTGGAAAACCTACAACAAAATTTGGTGAAAATAAACACAAAAACAATATTTTGCATGAAAAATATAATTTGTGCAGAAGAATCATCGTGAAAAGCAGTAATTAGAGAGACAGAAAGCAAAAATATAATCAACAGTCTTGCATGTGTGCATGTATCCATGTATAGGCAGGCAGATATATATATATATATACAAAAGGGAAAATATGTGCATACACACACATACATTAATCGCACTTATTCTGATTTTCATTCAAAACTAACAATATCATGTGATCCAACACATATATATATATATATCTTATACATAAAATTTATATATATATATATATAACATTAAATTTAATGTATAAGATATTTCATTATATTCAGGTTCAGCTATCTGGAATGTACCTCATATACACAAAAACAGCATACATGAAGTTATATCACAGTCATTTATCACTAACTGCGCAATACAAAGATAAATGACATCTTTAAAAGGACAATTACACAAAAAAGGAAGGCAAAAAAATTGCTCAGACACAGTTAGCTTATTAAAACCTCCATTCTTATAAAAACACACAAAAATTCTAGATCTGCATTTAAAGAATTCCTATAACATGCCTTTAAGCAGTTAAAATTTACTTTCATTACTGTATAAAACTATACACATAAGCTTGCTTAGTAAAAGGTCAACTTTGGCTTTAAAAGTCCTGTTTGTACCTCATGCTGTGACTTAAAGCTTTTTTGTTTGGTTTGTTTTGTTTTAAATACTACTGTGCAATGTAGAAGTAAGTACAAAGTAAGCAATATGAAAATTAAATATAGTGATAATTTTTAAAATTATGAAGAACATGCTTCAAATATTACCAAAATAAATAAGACATTCATATTTCAGGAATTATAACAAAAATCATTTCCCTATAACAAGATATATTATACAATAATAACTTTATAAAAGGAATAATAATCAAATATTAAAAATCTGAAATAGTTCACGAGATTTCTAGAAATACAGATATGGATGAAAGTTCGTAAATAACTCTAAAATGATATTAAAAGTGTATTGAGATTACAAGACAGTAAATGCATAGCAATATATCTCTTTCATACCCTTGATGATGAAATGTAGTGATATGTATTTTAAAACTGAAAAATTGCTTTCAAGCAAAAAATATGTTTCACTATACATTTTAATGACTTTAAATTCTAAAAATTACAAACTTAGCCTGTTAAGATGTTTTATACAATGAATGTTTTCTTTTTGAGAGAACAATAATCACACAACTTACAAAAACACAAAAAGTACAGATGAAAATAGCACACACCATTTCAGTAAAAATAACATGTACAAAGACTCTTTTGCTATACAACCCACTGAAAGTTTACAAAGTTCATTAAATCTCTTGAACAAATTATCAGTTTCTTTATTATATGCATTTCAAAGGCTGAACTTGAACTTTTCTGAAAGGAAAGTTCAGACAACTTCTGAAATGCAGAACTTTATCATACAATATAAACTTTATATTGACTCTGATGACAACAAGCATGAGCTTCTTGAAGAATCCTCATACGAGGTCCCATAGGAATACCCATCTTCTGAAGTCTCTCTTCAGTTAAGTAAGGCAATTCTTTTATTCCTATCTTTTCAGTTTCAAAGTTAGCAGCATATTTCTAGAAAACAGGAAAAAAAAAGATCAAGATAAAATGATCATTTTTAAGAAAAGGCTGGAGGATTAAAAAAGTAAGTGTTAAAAAAGTGAAACTACAATTGACTGAACAAGCAACTTTATTCATGAATATTTTTTTTTTTAATTTGAAGTTCATACTTTGAATGCTGTTTGAAACCCCTTATTTTTATTTCATTTAGAGCTCTAACTGCCAATTTCTGTAACTTTGTGGGACTGATGGTCACTCTAAAGTAAAATAATTAATTTGCCTAGAGTTCCACAAAGAGGCCAGATGGTGCTGTATTTTGCTTACTTTCTAACATTATCGCTAAGGTGGGCACTCCTGAAAATGGTCAGCTTCAAGAAAGCATATATCGGTGCAAGTCAATTCTCAAAAAGTTCTGTGCAAAAGCATCCTCTCCCTTGAGCAGGTATTTTATGTGTGCATACTTTAATCAATGAATCATCCAAATATGCAAGAATATTACAATATACTAAATACAGTATGATAAACTAATTAACACTAGTTCTGAAATACAAGCATTATTTTTCACTTTCTTTTCATGAAATGTTCTAAAGCCTGTTTGAACCATGTCAGTTTGCTGATTAACAAAGTAATTATGATGTGGACTTTAATAAATCCAATTACAATTAAATACCATGTCAAGGTTTTGCTACATGAAAATTCTAGAATCAAAATAGATTCATTTGCTTCTGTTAAGACTTACACAGCTATAAAACTGTAGCAGATATTTCTATTGATAGCTACAGATTTTGGACTGTCACTCCCTTTGGCTAAAGGATATCAACATTTTTAACGTATTTTCAATATTTGCAGTATATATTACACAACACAAATAAAATTATTTTATTGTGAAATTCAAAACTGCATAGTTGTTTTACATTGTTAAAAGACAATAATACTTGTAATAGATCATAAAACTATATCATAGAATGACAATAAGGTTCCTAAGACAGCTCTTTATAAAGTTCTTGCAAAAAACATTAAAATAAAATTCAGTCTCAGGTTAATGTTGGTTTTAAAAAATTTCAAATTTCTTTTCTGAAATATTTAAAATAATAATTGCATTTCCTATGTATTTATAAAATCTTTACATATTTCCTACATTTCTGAAATGAATGCTTATTTGCCAATGCTGACAGAGTTTCAGAAAAAGTATTTTATAATTCCACTCAAGATATATTTTTATTGGGAACTTAATATATTGAAAACAAAATTTAAAAAACTAGAGATTTTAGGATTTCCAAAGAGTTTATAAAAAGGTTTCTGTCTTTGAATTATAAGTGATTTATGTGTTTAATGCACTTATACATGTTAAAGTAATTATAAATGTTTGTGCATATATAACTTCTGTTCCAAAGTCATGAAAATATCAAGTTTTCCTCCAAATTTCATTTCCTGAAAGTGTGATTAACAAATTCTTGAAGGGGATATTTTCAAATGTCTTCATTAACTCAAAGTGGGATCATAAGACTGTTGATATTTTTGTCTATTTTAATAGAATTTAGCTTTTCAGTATTTGGCCCCCAAATCTGCCAAGCTTGTTGTAACGTTGCATTGTTTAATTTTTTTAAGATGTGAAAAATACATTTTTTATAATAAACTGTTTTCATTAACTTTTTGATCCATACGCTTGAGGCTCAACATGCCTTCGACCAATACACAAGAAATCCTGATTTATCTAACCAGGGAATTCTTACCCATTACTGCATAGTTCAAACACATTTGCAAGCTCACTGTAGTGATAAACATCTATTCTACTTGATTAATAGACGCACACAAGAGATGCATCTGATGTGAGTCCCATATCCAATGGTCTAATAAATTTTGCACTCATGTACATGTGGACGCACATTACATTTAGCTGTCAGTTGTGGCACAAGCAATCATCAATTTTCACCATGCAGGACAGCTTTCGCCATCTGCATTCACTGACTGGGCATTAAGACCTGATGCTTTGGCATGCCACTTCCAGTTTCACTTACCTTTTTCTACTTTTCATAGGCACTGAGAATATCAGCTCCCGAATAACACATGAGCTCCCTCAAATCATCATAATTTAGCATCTGTTACTTTAATTGGCAGTCTTCCCTAATGCATGCACACATATTTAGCAAAGCAATGTATTGTCATCCTTACAACCATTAAATAACATTCTCACCTTGTCATGTACCATCTATGTGATTCTAAATAATGCATTCTCACAATGTAAGGATCACAATGTATGTGTTTCAGAAATAAAAATCACTATTAGACTCTGTTATTTTTACATCAAATGAATAAATTTTAAACTTCAGTAAAATGTAACTTTTAACTTTTTAAAAAATAACTTTACAGCTTCCACTAATTGAGTATCTTCCACATTCTAGTTAGGCTACAGACTACTAAAAATATGTTCTATTTCATGACAGCATAACGAATACATTAAAAAACGTTTCAGTGCAAATAATAACTGTAAACTACAATTTCAAAGGATAAACATTCTACTTACTTCATATCCAAGGCGTTTCAAAAATTGCCTGATAAGTGGTGGCTCATCTCCAAAAAACCTGTTGTTTAAGAAAAATATAAGGAAGAAGTATATATAACCTCATACTTAATACACTGCTTTTATTACTTTCATACAAAAAACTGCATATTGCTACAGTATGTGTATAATACAAGGTTTTTACAAGCTGGAAATATCCACCAATTGTAGTGGGCTGAGAAATTAAATAAAAAATTGAAAATAAATGCAAACAAAAAAATAAATCAATGTTGTAAAACTTTTTATTCAAAATTAAATTATAATATATATATATATAATAAAAACATAAAGCATTAAATAATTTCACTCACTAAATTAAACATTAATTTATCAACACAAAGACAAAACATATGTTCTAACCAATACAATAACTAATTATGCAAAAAAGAAAAATTTACTAACTTCGTAAGTTTCTTTGCTCTGCATGGATTTAGTAACTCGAGAACTTCTCTCCGGAAATTATCCCAATCTTTTGGCAAAGGTAATTGATGACTCTTTCCACCAGTACTGCCTGACTGGCAACCTTGGGCCAGCTGCATAAGCCGTAATCGTTCCTGAACCCACGTCACATCCTGTCGCATATTTTCTAATTCTTGAACAAGTACATGCTGAGTTCTCATTTCAGATGATAAATGTGCTACACTACGTGCTAAGGTTACAACATGGCTTTCTAACCGTTGCAGTCTTTTGCTTGCTGAGCTAAAAGAACAAAATAAGAAATATGAGGAAATATTTTATTCCAAATACCTGAATATCTAGTAAAGGAGGAAGAAAGACAATAAAAGAGAGTAATAAACCAGACAATTTAGCAATTAAACTATACTTTCAAGACAAATAGCATAAAGTAAAGCTGAAATATTTTATCATGTTTACCTGCTTCGGCACTCTTTACTTCTTCTTTTTTCAGAGAAGCCTCTTTTATCAGCAAAACTATGATTTCCTCTACTCACAGAACTACGAGCATTTAAAGATGACAAGCTGTCATTAGTTCGTCGTCGAGAATGACGTGACACATCTAATACACTTCCACCAAATACATTAGCCTTGCAAGAATTTTTGACACCCAGTAAACGAAGTATCTACATTAAATTTAAAAAAAGCATTATTTTTTAACTCTACACAAAAAATTTTACTGCTTTCAGAAATGTATTTATATGTTTACATTTTGACTACAAGCACATTAACAATATGTCCTATGCATTATGCTGGAACTAAAAATAAAACTGTAAAGTTAAATACTTTACATTAAAGATACATAATAAGATGTAACACAGGCACTGCTGTAACTGTTGTCAGGCGTGGAACTTTGACGTTAGAATAAATGTTGCTTGCAATACATTGGCATGCGCATGGTGTCATAAAAGTGGTGCCTAGATACAGTAAAGTGGCTATGTGCTACTAGATGAGACCGCTTACAATGGCACCTGGTAGAAAACGGCAAAGTATGGGTATCTCGAAGACGATACGACATTAGGAAGAGAAAAGTTAATTACAAAGTTGTTAGAGTGTCATGGATTTAATATGAAAAGACACATTGTGAATATAAATTCTGAAAACAGAATGTTAAAAATGGACATTTGTTTCTTCCCAATTTCTGAAACTATGAAGTAACAAAACTTGAACAAAAGGACAAGAAAATAAGCCCACATTGCGGCACAATTCATTATTATATAATTCACAATCAAGCAAACTCTGGTTCCAACTCCATAGGGTGCATCTTGTACTGATTGCATTTACAAATAGATTAGAAGATCATGCACAATTATGTTGCAAAATGTGTCAGCTCAACACAACTTGAGCTTGTGGTATGAAATTTGTTCATTATACAAAGAGTGTATGAAACAACACATCTGATCACCTTAGACAGCTATAACAGAGATATCACCTCAGGGTTATATCTTGAAAGTCATGGAGTGATTTTCAAAAAGGATTAGTACGAGATGGTTCGACCTTACAGCAAGTATGGCCACAAGGCCTGATTGGCAGTGCGATTACATAGGCAACTTTTTCCTGCAAGCCTGCATCCTTCGCACAAAACCATGCTATAGGTTGAGAAACATTTAAAGGAATCAGGCAGTAAAGGAATCAGGCAGCCAAACCTCAGTTTGGTTCTTTACTCTTTCATGCCACATCATTTACAACTATGCCATAATCTGATCTGCTTGTTTCTTCATAATGTTTTACATTCAAAAGCATTAAAAATAATATTTTTTTTCCTAAATTCTATTTTGTATATTACTGCCTTCAAACCTACCAGGTTTGCTTTCCTGCACTTAATGAACTTTAAATGGATCTGGGAGAAGAAGAATTCTTCTTCTTACAGTGGATTCTATATTCTATTCTATAATCCACTGTAAGAATTCTTCTGGAAGCCTTGGATCAAGAAAATATTAGTACTATGTTTCCCCTGGCAAAAACACAGCAATGGATCATTTGTGTAAATTATAAACAAATTATTTACAATTTATATTACATGATATATTTACTTTTCATGAAATGAAATTATGTCACTATTTTGCAAATACAGTCAAAAGTCGTTAATTTGGACACCCATAATCCGAACCTCAAAGCTACAAACTTTCTGCGCATGCGTCGCGTTGCCGCATGCGCATAGGCGTTTACATGCGCGCGTAAGACCTTTACTGCTACGAATATGCTTGTGCGCATGCTCATAAAACGTTTACGCATGCGCGTTTAATGTATAACGGACGGTGTAAGCTAAGCTAAAATTATCTAATTCAGTTAATGTTGCAGATTGCGTTGTTCCTTAATCTTCGAATTGGATCCGGCTTATTATTTTTTGCAGACTGTTAGAGCAATTTTTTAAAAGTAAGCTTAAACTTTCGATTATATCAAATAGAATTTCCGATATGTATTTGTTAATATGTAAAGGATCTAAAGCGAAAGTATGTTTCGAAATCCGAAATATGTTTATCAATTTCACGCTGCTCGGCGGGGGGGGGGGGGACGCCACGGCGTGCAATGAATTGGAAGTTGATCTGTCAGCACTATCCTTATCTTCAGGGCAGATGTTTTTATTTTATTTGGCTGTAAGCCAAATAAAATAAAAATTATAAATTCCTTACTAAATGTAGTATTTCATCTCGATGTACTCCGTCTTTCATATGATTTAAAACAAGTTCCTCATCATTATAATTCGCTTCCGATAGTGAAGAAAGTAAGTTATTGAAAACGAAAAAATTTCGATTGACAAATTAGTCGGTATTCTCGACACAGCAATTATAGGACTTGAACAGCGGAACTTTGTAACTAAACAAGAAATTATGTCTGTTTAATAGAATTAAAGAGAAAGTATTATCACATGAAACGAAGCAACTTAAACAACTGACATTGAAAGAAATGTTTAATAAAGTAAACAAATAAATATTAAGCTTTTTCTTTTTGTAAATTTTGATACCCTTTAGATCATAATTGTTCTTTATTTCATAAATTACGGTTTCATATTTTTAATTTTGTAATTTCTGCATGCCATCTTACCAGATTTAAACTGATGATCTATAATCCGGAATTGCCGAAGTCCCGACGAGTCCGGATTAACGACTTTTGACTGTACTTTGCTTTTGTATGCTCCACATATAAAAGCCTTATTTTTACAAGCACTCAAGTTTATTGCCATGTCTAGAAGTTAAGGCGACATTCAATTAGACTTTTAATTCTAAATTATGTCTGTATTTCGTGGCACAAATGTATAGAGTTTGGTTTGGATATGTTTTTCATATTATACAGCCAGGCAATTGGAATTAGGACTTTTATCCCAGAAGATATTTAAATAAAAAAAAATCTAATTTCAGAGGAAATTTTAAAAGAATACGAAAGTTCAAGGGATACTACAGATGACAAAGTAATGGAAAATTCCTTACCACATGAACAGAAAAGACAGTTTATTAGAATAACACACCTGAAAATAAATTTAAAGATGTTTTGTGCAACAATGAAGATGAATAAAAACTAAAACTTCAACCATATATCATAGGTAAAATTCCATCATAGCATACGACCCAAAAAATTGCTTTCAATTTGTCCAAAACAAATTTAGGCAGGTGAAAAATTTTAATTTTCACTATTAGAAGAGCTAAAAAATTTGCTGAAGGCAGAAAAAAATTAAAGGAATATTTTCAAGTTAAATGGTTAGGATTTATTTTACCCCATGTAGAAAACTGTGAAAGCCCCCTAGTGAGTAATTTGCTATAATCTGAACCCACATCAAACTGAGAACAATAGTTTTACCACTCGACTGCCATTGATCCTGCATTTTTTAAACTCCCGTAATTTGGTTCATTCTGCTGATTATAATGTAAAATACATTACTGTTTTGATCACTTTTACTACACTAGAACTATGAAATTTATTCAAATTGTGACTAAAGCACTTATCACCACATAAAATATGTATTGTTTGCACCATATCAAAATAAGTGCAACATATCTTTCCATATTAAAATGGCTTCCAGAATTTCTTGTATTCTGACCTAATTTCTACAAGTTCTATTTAGCTTTTCATTTTAAATAACTGAGTATTGACAGTGAAAAAATATATACCTTTCATTTGTTAGTTCAATTTATTATTTTACACATTCATTGCATAAATTGATGAATTTGGCAACATTCCAAATTTTCAAAACTGAATTTTGAAAATTTTCCAAAATACATGTCTTATATTGTTTTAAATTTTTAAACTGATTATCGATGTAATATTAGCAGCTAATTATTTCATTTATGTATTTCCAGATGAGTAGATTCACATATATTTTTTCAAGAAAATTCAGAGTTTAAGATTGGAATACCTTCCAACAGATTCTGCATATACATATCTGTAACACAAAACATATTTTTCAAAGCCAGAGAAGCATTTTAATAGCAGTTTACCTCTGAATACATTGTCTCTAGACCTTCAAGTTGCTTCCTGATCATGGAAACTTCACTAGGTTCCATAGTACTAGCTGTAGCACTTAGGTCACTGCTAAAGTCATCAGCATCATCTAACAGACTTTCCATATCAAGACCTGTTGTAGTTGAAGTTAATTCTGGATCCCCATTGTCTACATAACACGGAAAAGCTGAAAAAATGTACATTGTTACTGATCTAATAAAAATACACCTACATTAAATTATCAAACAAATCATAATTTGTGCATTACCAATCTGATTGCGTGTATGGTGTCTTGAAGGTGGTGAGCTGTGACATTTTCTAGCAGCACAGTTACCATGCGATATTCCTAATCGATGTCCAGAAGGCAATTTATTATATTGGTATGACTTTCCATTCCTATGCTTGCAGGTTGTCTGTGTTATACTAGATGTTCGACGCAAACCAGTTTTCTTGCCAGGAGTTACTTTAACAAGACCCATTTCACAGTTCTTTGAATGCTCAGTTGCTTTATTACAGCTAGTGTTTAGAGCAGATGCACTGAAATAAAATTTAATATATAATGCTTAATTCAGAATATAACTGAAACAGCATTTAAACAGAAGTAAAAATACACAAAGAAAAACTGATTGTAGAAAAATAAGTCATATTTCATGAATTAAAAAAAGCTGTAGCTATTTAAATACAATAAAATGTTGAAAATGCTACAGCTGTAGCAAGACCATGCACATTCCAAATTTAAAATCAGCATCTCAATTTAGCAGTTACAATTATTTAAAAACAATAATTTTTTGCCAACTTTTGAAAATGTTCCCATTCCCATAAAATGCAATTTGGTACTATTTGTTATTAAACTGTTAACATTCGTATGTTCAGTAGTTTAGAAATGCTGTTTTACTCACAGAAAAGAATGAGGTCATCAAATAATTACCTTGACGACAGCCTATATTGTGGTGTTCTTGAAGAGAGTTTTGGTGAATTTTCAGCACTAATGGGAGGAGATGGAGCAGGAGAAAGAGGTGGCAGAGGTGGAGTAACAGAAAGGCTTTCACTTGTAACATCATCCTGAGGTTCTTGTTGATCAGTAGGTTTTCTACAGTTCAAAGATGTACTTGGTGTCTCATATATATGTCTGGCTTGATTCACTTGCAATTCCTCAGAGAACCTCTTTTCTTGAGAGTCATGGTTTTGTTGGCTCCAAATAGTACCATTAGCACTGTGATCAGAATCAAGGCTAGTATCGAGATTACTGCCTGCACTGATGCCACTACTATGAGGAGATACTACACTTTTACAACCATGCATGCTACTATGCATGGTGCCACGACCAGATTCAGATGATGATTTATATAAATCATTTGCATCTCCACAGTCTGTGGCACCAGATTGCAATGGTTCATTTGACACAGCATCATTTTCTTCATTTGGCACTTGTGTTTCATCTGATGGAATATCTGGGAGGTGGTTCTCCTCATTATAATTCTGTACCCTTCGACCGTAATATGAGGTATCCAGAGGTGAGGAAGTCTGAGGTTCAGTTTGCTGCACAATTTGATCAAGAGCTTTACCAAAGCTTGGAAATGGTGTTACACCTCCATATACAGAATCACAGTTGGATGAAAATTCTGCCTTTTTATCTTGAGATGGTCGCCCAATAGCTTCTTTTGGCACTAACTTATCATAATCATATGAAGACTTTATATTATTCGAATAACTATTCTGAAATTAGAAAGAAATGGCACATAAATCTTCAGTGTGATAACAGCTTATAATGATCACCGTTTTTTCAAAAAATTTTTAAATATGAAAGTTCTTTTCACAGATTAAACAAAAACACTCCATTACATCTAAAACAAGGCATACTTTTATCTTCTTCCTAGTTCCCATTTTCTTACATGATTACTTCAATATCATAATTTATGTCAATAACTGTGTTTGTTCTTACATTGCTGCATAATGCATTTGTCTATTTTTCATAATTTTCCCCCCTCTTATAGTTACTTAGCACATTTTTATGATAAAATTACGTTCATTTGGCATTAAATCTTTCATTTTCAGATATTTATTATATTTGTATGTGTTTAATTACTGTATAACATACAATTATTTATTATTAATATCTCTTAATTCTAAATTTATGAAAAAAAAATGTTGGAGTTTTGAAAATTGATTAAAGAGATGCACGTTTTTGAAGTTCAGAGGTCTTGGCATAGTTTGGTGATTTTTTGCCAATTTGGTGACATTTTGGAAAAGGAAACATATGGAGTACTTCCTTATACTGGCTTCCGCTATTTTAAACAATGCCAACAGCCTTCTTTAATGGAGTTTGCCAAAGTCACAATCTTACTCAGATCTCCACAAACCATTGACAACAGTTCTAACCATGGTCACTTACAGTTGACCCATTTAGAGAATAACTATGAGTAGGGTTGCAGCTATCACATACTCCATTAACAAGAGCATTTTTAGCATCATTTAAATACAGAAAGACCAATGAATCATAATAAAGAAATATCAAACACATTTTTTAGACACTAGGATCAATTTTTAGAGTATTCTGGTAGTACCATTCCCCCAACTATGATATAAACAGGAGAATGTGCAAAGCCATGAATCAATTGACAGCTTTGCATATTTACAGTCTGAAGAGTTTGGGGTTAGTCTTTGATCTGATTTTTCAATTAGTTCTACTGTACGTGTCAAAATTTGAAACTGGATTTTGAACTCAAGTGATTCTGCATTTTTATGACATCCATTCCAGCATTATTGAAAATTTACAACTTTACCTTGTCTCTACTTCTATTTTTAATTAAAGATGTTCATTTGCAGAAATAATCATCATATGGAGCTGCTATAAAAATCCAAATTTCCCTCTTCATCTCACCCACTTATCTGGAAAACCCTTAAACTTTAATATGTAATTTAGAAGCTAAGTTTATTTGAAACTATGAGGTCTTGCATTCTTTGTCATAAAGCAGGAAGCTGCAAGATTCTTTAACTGTTTCTGGATGCGTTGTACATGCCATGGTAGCATTTCTTTCATCTATGGCGGGTGTGATGTCTGCGTCTGAGAATTAGTGCCTAACTAGACTGCTGTAATGTATACATGACAATAACCTCTAACGTTAGTGCAGTTTTTATTTAGTTTTTCTTTTCGTATGTAGAGTAGGGTAATCTTTCTTTTGTGTGAATGTAAGTAAGAAATCTTGGCTATTCCATGAAATGATGTTATAAAGCCTTTGAATGTATTAAACAATTAGGCCATAAACTAAGAAACACAGTGCTTGGTTTTGATTTCACTGGATGATTATTTTAATAAGCTGTTTTTTAAGATGCAAAAATTAAGTTTTTCTTTCTTTTAAGGTTTTGTCCCCAAAATCTGCTTAGCATTAGAAAAGAATAAAAAAAAATTAAGAAAATGTACCAAGAGATAAATTTCCATTTAGACTTTTTTTTATTGCTTTGTTACTGAATAATTATATTTGCAGTTAATACACAAATATACTTTTTTCTGGAGGCAAACACTTACACCACACTTACACTGAAAAACATTTCTTTAATTTATGACAAACCTTGAATAAGATAAAATCATTATGTATATCGATCAACCATCATCACTGATAATCATCTCCAGTAAGAGACTGACCAAAATCACCTAAGAGAAAATGCAGTGTATTTTGGGGGAAAAGAAAACTTTACAGAAGGACTTCAAAATTCAAAAATTATATTTTTTGTACATTATCCAACAAGGTCTCAGAGTATTATTATTATTCACAGCATTTCTGCTGAATATTATTCATAATTCCAGCACTGTAACATTTTGTGCCTCATTCAGAAATTAATTTATCTTTCTGAATTAAGAGGCAATTTTGTACCTCTTAAATCAGAAAGATAAATTCCCGATTCCAGTAAAAGTTGCATTATATTCACATTAAATGCTGAACAATTTTTTTTTTTTTTTTTTTTTTTTTTTTTTTTTTTTTTTTTGTACTTGGCACCAAGAGACAATATAACAAAAGCTTATTATCTGCTCAATAATTTGCAGCCTGATACTCAAGTTTCTAAATTAATAACTTAACTGATATCTTTTGTACTGCAGTGTGTGTGTGTGTACATGACAGACATAAAGTAACTGAACTGCTACTTTCCATCTATCATGTATTCACACTATCCTATTCATTAAAGATAAGATTTTTTATCCTCCATATTTATGCATTTCTCCATTAATGTTCACAGCAGATTCACTGAAACAGTTTTTTAGACCTCTTTAAATGCAGACTTTTCCTAATGATTTCACACAGAATAATAATTAATAAAGACTATATTATTACAGTATATACAAGAGCTATAACAAAATGCTTTATATTGCCTTGAATAACTAATCATTCTGGCTGCAAAGATAGCAAAATTAAAAAATTTCAAAATATTTAACTTATTTCACTAAAAAGCATTATTATATATAAGAATAATTCAAATTAAATATTAATTGTATATTTTACCCTTGGATTTAAGTAGTTCGTCCAACTAATTTTTTGTTCTCTAGAGAAAAATTTAGTACATGTGTCACGAAGTTGATCAGGATCAGTGCCATCCTCGTGCTCTGATAGACTGGCATGAGCACCAAAAGGATGCCTGGAAAAAAGAGATAATATGAACTGAAAATGAATTCTATTCTTTATATTCTAAATTCAGAACACACAAAAAGTTGAGTACTAATTCAGATACCCTTAAAAAATGATAAATATAATTTGATTTAAAAATAATTACTTGATATAGCATCATGATTATTTGATAATACAGAAAGCTACATCACTTCATAAACAAATATTTTCACAGTAAATTACACACAAATTTTGCTTGAATTGTTCATTCATTTTAATAAAAATCATAATGAGTGAAAAATTTATTCAATTGATAAAACTTTTATGAAGGCAGTGCAATCTGACTATCAGAACTAAAACAATAAATTCTATATTCGATAGTACAAGCCTAAAACTAGTGCACGATGTTTATGAACACTTCACCATTAGAAAGCAAGGAAAACCAATGTTCGTATCATCTGCGATACCAAATTATGATACAAAATTCAATATACATATTTTTTTTTTACACATAAATTTCCCTGAAGTTCATCTTTACAATGCTCCCCACAAGCAGCCAAGTGGTAAAGTTGCTAAACACTAGTCATTCAGTCCAGGATTTAACACACTGGCTGCATGTGTGTTTTCATTGAGTAACATATATAAGAGCCAGTTTCCCTTGAAAAGTCCTCCATAAAGGCATCACTCCTCCTTAGGCAGATAGCTCTCAAGTGCTTTGTTAGAATCACATAAAGCAAACAAAAAGTACAAGGAGTGGATAAAAGCTGCACTTTAAAAGCATCATTTATTAAATAACTTACAAACTGCAAATTTTAAAATCTTACTTTATAATTTGTGCATTAAGATGTTTATGCAATAAAATTTATACTACAAATAATAATTTTATTCATAGAGTGAATATCTTTTTTCCTCCTCCCCCCCCAATTAAGTCATATGAGGCATTACAAATTTTGACAAAATATGTATAAAACAGAATCAAAACAATTAAAAATATATCAAACCAGCAGTTTTCAATATTTTATACTGTGTATACTGCAAAACAATTAGACTGTAAGTAATATATCCCCAGTCTAAGTAGATAACTGTAGTTATAAATAAAATAATGGCAATAAAAATAACACATTTAGGATGAACCAATGAATTTGATAATGTTAAAAATCTCACAAAGTGCTACAAAAATGCTATAAATAAAAGTTAATTCATTATAAAATGAGAAAATTATGCATGTTTTATTTACAGGGTCTATAAGTTTGTTAACGGTAAACTTACACCGTATTATTATTACTCAAGATTCCTAGTACAAAAATTAATATCTATAATGCATTACAAACTTTGCTTTCAACTTTAAGCACATAGCTCATTTCTTTCTCAAGCACTTTCTGAGATATTTTACAATATCAAGTTAAATAAACTTTGTATACAGACACATTATATATTACATATATCAGTCAATACAAAAAAGGCATAAATGATCTGAAAAATTAAAAAAAAAAATTACACACATTTTACTGGATAACCAGACAGAATAAGAGATGGAGTCTTTTGACATATGAAGAGCTGTCAATATTACTTGCCCAGATCGATTCATTTTGAATTTGTGTCCACTTACTTATGTGAACAATTTTAACTCTATTAATGTTTTAACCCCATTCCCATTTTATCATATGTGATATTTTGACTTCCATTCCAGACACAAATCTAGATGCTTATGCAATGAGGTCTAGGTGGAAACTTATTCAGAACCCTTGACCCAGATTCTGAAATTGCTAGAAAAGAAAGAATTTGATTTCACTTCAGCACCATTCCAAACGGAATCATACCAAACCCAACATGATGACTGACACTGAAGTTCTTGTTATTGGAAATGGTTCTCCACCAACATCCTGGCAGAGACAGATTAAAATGAGCTTGAATAGCCACAGTCAAAAGCAAGACTGGTGTCTTCAAAAAGCCTACAACCATACTTTCACCTCTATCTTTGTATCCGGACTGCAGCTAACAGGATGGAAGTATGTTTACTTTCATAACTCTCATAATTAGTTTACTTTCATTCATTGACCTATGTTGGAAACATGATTTAGCTTTGCCATCACCATGGAATTTGGTCGCTAGAATGTAGCTGACCTATAACTGTTTTAAAACTTATTTTTAATTGTCCTTGCATTCTAGCTACATTTAACTATTGTTTAAATGTCTAGCTACATTTTAATAATTGTTTTAAAATTTAACTGAACTATGCTATCAGATTATTACTAGATGCTCTTACATGGATACTTTAATTATAGTATGTTTACAGTTTCAGACGTCAAGTAGAAGAAGTTGAATCCATTATATAGAGTTATAGTAAAATGAAACATCACATTCTTATTTCTTTTGATTATTGGACCTTAAAAAATTACACTTAAATATAGCTAACAGGTCTTTCCATTTAGCTTTGCTTACTACTTAACATTTGTAATTAATTTTTTAATGGTACATAATCCTCTATTTGTAATTTGAGAAGTACTAATATAGCTAAAAGAAAATTTTAATCTGAAATAAACAGCCACCCAAGAAATGAATTAATATTTTTTTTGAATTATTTGAAATCTTAACCTATTAATTATCATATTTTAAGACCTTTACAATAAAGGTTTTCTTAAGATACAACTGATATGTGTATAATTTTTGATTAATAATTAATTCAGCTTTTAGTGGTTGATGATGACTGTGTGCTTAATTACTTAACATCTGAAAATGCATTCCCATCATAAAAATACCCTCTCCCCCAAAATGTAAAGAATACTAGCATTTAATTAGCAGCCAAAAACTGTATTCACCCATATATTAATTTTTTGCGATCAAATTATTCCAATCTTACCATTAACATGCTTTGAAAAAGACAAGAAGTCCCTTCCTCTTCCCCTCCCAAAATTAACAACAGACCAACTCAGTTCCAGGTATTCTTTTGGGGGGGGGGAAATCAAGATGCAACTTCCTATCTTTCTTATAGCAAGGTGCTTTTAAACTACTGTTGTATCCTATTTTAGGATACATTTCACTAGTTACAATGAATACTGGAAGAAACAGTGTTTTTCAAACTTAAAAGCACAGAATGCATATTTAAGGAAATCAATCACTAAAAATAAGAAATAATAATGAAATTTTACAACAGCTTTAGTGAGAACTAAGCTTACCTTTCTGCCTGAAATGCTTGAGAGTGGTGAATGTGATTTGAAGGATGTGAAACACTTAAAGTAGCACTACTGCTGCTAAATGAGGATGAAGATATATATGTCATATGTGGCTCATTTGTGGATGAAGAACTCCTGTTATATGACATAGGGCCAAAACTTTTAGGTCTCTGAAAATACATAAATCTTTAAAATGGTGATCAATTAAACTCAAGAAATTATAAGATGACTACACATTATAGCCTTTAAAACAAAATAAAAGAGACTCACTTCATTAGTGGAAGGAATATTCCAGTTTTCACTGTGGTCACTTCCAGACTTTTCAGCAAACGGAGCTACACTCTTTTCTACTTCAACAGAGTCCTATTAAAATATATAAATTTATAAAAGGCTTATTAAGATAATCTGAGAAACTTAAATCTCCAGAAAACAAAGGTGTAAAATTAATTGAAAAATATTTAAATAGCTATGCTGACTCATCAGAAATACTTTAAGTTGGAGGGAAATGAATACTTGTGTTCACAGAGCAGTAATGAAAATTGCAGAGCCGAAACAGGATGCTCTCCTTTATAACTTATTCTTTTGAAACAATATACATTATATATATATATATATATATATAAAAATGTGTTCATATGCAATATGAATAGTTACAAAAAGTGTTTTGAGAAGGGAAAATCAGCTGTCATGCCAAAGTATGGACTTACCATAGTCCATTAATGCTAGAAGTAAAAGGAAGCTATTCTACTTAGTACAAGCTGAAAAAAGATGTTCTGGTAGACATCAACTATAATTTTCATAACTGCATAAGTAAGGACGTACAGCATAAAGTGCATTTAAGCCCTGCGAAAAATAGAAACATGTTGTGACAGGCTGCTCCGAGTTTACTGCTAACATTAGTTTACGATCACAAGCATAAAAAATTTAGCCATAAGCTTTATATGACTAGAATAAAAACCAAAGAATTTTTTGGAGGGCTGGGACTATGTAAAATATGCACAAGTCACTTATCTAAGAAAGCATTAGCACCAGGAGGCACTCTGAGATATACAATTATTTCTATGCAGAAATCTGATGTGTATCACCTACTCAAACCTTGTTACACACCAAGTATACCTTTCATGGCAATGAATGCCCTTTCTGCAATTATTTCTATGAGTAAAATTACACACCATGCCATGCTACCGATTCTTTGAGAATGGTTCGCAGAACATAGAGACAGGTACTGCTCTAAACTGCTAAATTCCCTGGATGTGAATTTAATTAAAAGATTTGCAGGAGTAATTTGCAATCTAAGATATCCAGCCAACATGCACAACATTTATACTTCAGCAGATTAGTTATTTCAGTTCTTCAATGTATTAATGTTGCAAGATAATTAACTAGAGGTTTTATTCAAAAAATTTGTTAGCTGATTTATTGTGTTAAAATTTGAACACCACATTTAGATAGCCGAAATTTCCAGCATGCATTGAACTTACTTTTTTTGAGTGCTATAAACCATGCAACCATATTTGAAATTACATTTTAGGAAAATGTCATTATTCTAGCAGATATTTACAGAACAGTGAAGAAAATCATAGCAAATAAAAGCACTGTTTTTTTGCAAAAAATAAGACTTTTATGCATTCACATTTCAGTCTGTATTACCATACTCTGCACTACGAAATCAGATTATTTAGAACTGAAGGTAAAACGGTATTTTCTTAAAATAATAATGCACAAATACTGAATGACTACAACACGTTCTTGTGTGCAAAATTTGATTTCTGATAAATGACATTACAAACAGCAAAGTAACCTTGAATCTTGAATTCTGTAGCATTATTTATTACACAATTATTAAATTTTTATTATTTACACCTTTATCTATTTATTTCAAAGTTAAGAGTTTTAAAGATTAAAACCCTAATTATAAAATAAAAGTTCTATAAATTATTTTGCAAAAATTAAATAAAATAAAAATATGAATAAAATTGGAGATATAGGAATAAAACTTTTACTAAATTTCTTTTAAATCTCAAAACTGACTTACTTTATTAGATGATGACTGAGTCAGCAATGAACGCAATTTCCTTTGCAGAGAAGACAACTTTTCACCAACAAGTTTCCCTGATGTCTGAAAAACAAATAATTAAATTATAAAATTAACCTAATGCTGTCACTGTATTTGCCTATGTTTTTAACACTGAACAAATATGATCAAAAGATATATATATATATATATATATACATAAAATATGTACAAGCTTCAAATAAGCATTTAATACAAAATATAAAGCCATATCAACAAAAATTTTAAAAAAATTTATATAAAAATTATTAAAAATATTTTTATATAGTGGGATATGGAAGGGCAATTAATTAGTGATTAATTAATTTGCATCTGTAGATATGTGTACTTTTAGTAGATTACTGATCTTTCTATGCACTACACAGATATATCCTGAAGATAATGTGTGTAATCTTATCTGCTAGCCAGATCTAATAATCAAAATAGTGACAAATCAACCAATTTTTTCAATGTTTTCACCATTACAACAGGTTGCATTTAATATAGAAAAGGCTCCTATCATTTTAAAGACATTAAGTATGCAACCAAAATCTATGCTTCAGATTCACAACAAAATTTTACTTACTCTTGGAATCCTTCTTACACATTTAAGCTATTCTTATCCTGCAGCATGAAACAGGAAAAGTTACATAAATTAATAATTAAATAAAAAATATAACTTTCTGCCTATTAGGATGTAAAATGCACCTACAGCAAAAAGAAATGTACTATTAATAAATGAGTATATGCGAAAACCTACTCTGTATTACAACTTACATAAATCAGATGTACAACAATAGTACTGTTCAAAGGTCAAATATTATAAATATGTTACTTTAATATTACTTAGCTGAATTAATAACATACCATTTGAATGATAGGCAATTGTTACTTCTTTGAAAAAGTGGAAAATTGCCAAGCCACACGACGACAAAAGTATCACTAGCATAACACAATGGGATGCAAAAAACATGCAGACTAAACTATAGAAGTTTCTTAATGCCATTAAAATACTAAATAATTATTCTGTACCAAGGAACACATGGTATGATAAAGTGTGGTGAATATGTTCGCAAATGGAAAATTCTTGCCTATATCGGGAAAAAGACATCATATTCCTTCAAAATAAAGCCTGTCACTGCAATGCACTTTTGACAACAACTGTACAGATCCTAAAAACTGCAGGCAAAGTCCTCTTTCAGTATTGCATAAAGAACCCTCTTCAAATGGCTTTGAACATCTGGCATATCCAAAAACAGTACTCACTTTAGACCTTTTTTCAGGTTCAAGAATACGAAGAAGTCTGCTAAAGCAAGATCATGCAGTTATGGAGGATGATCGAATGTTTACAGCTCTTCTACAGGCCATAAACTGATATACAACCAAGGCCAAGGCCGAATGTGGCCATGTATTATCACAGAGAAAGAAGCAAAAGCCCACCTTCGCATTTTTTGAAAACATATAACATATCCTTTTCAATAAATCTAGCAATGTATTTGCATATATTAGCATATATTGTTGCTCTTTCTGACTAGCATGATCTTCACTTTTTCAATGTTTTCCTCATTACAAAAAGTCTACCACTTCAAGCATCTTTTAATGGGAAATGATCCAGCCTGAAAACCTTTAAATAATTTATAAACAAGCTTAACAGATACAGTGCACCAGGGAGAAGAGGCCTTTCAGACCTGGCTTGAAGATGCCTTACACAGTTATAATGCCCCAACCCCTAGAGGCTATCCAATCCTCCCTGGTCAACCTAGGGGGGACAATTTTGATGCACACAACCTGAAAATAAGAACACAAGACAATGGCGATTGGCAAGCAAGCAGTCACCAACAAAGAGAACATAGTTATATTGTAAATGGCTCCCCCAGTGCTGGCCAAAGGCAGCCAAACCTCTAAGGACAACCTTCAATACCTAACCATGTAATGCCCTCACAACCAAGGGGCAGACTAGACAGCACCAGTCCCTGCCAAGCCAAAACCTACCACCAAATAAATTATAGTTCTACTCATTGCGAAGACTGATTATTTACGCTAGATGTCAACTCTGTCTAGGTACTGATCCTAGCCAGAATGGCAGGAGTTGCCCCCCCCCCCAGTTAATCATCTCTGTAATCTTGCATCATCATATCATGTCTCTCTCTCTCTCAGATTTACTGAACCTGAAATAAAACTCTAAATTGATCTCCTGCTGCATTTTACAGCCACTCCCATTCGCATAATAGTGTTACTAACAAACATTCATAATGCTTATCACTATACCACACTCAGACATGTTCTTACACAGTATCTTTTTCCAACCCCCATTATTTATCTACTACCATGCATGCTCCCCATCCTATAGGATCATTCACTGAACTTCATTAGCATACTTTGTATTTTTAATTACAATGACGTAAATGTGCAAAAATTAATAAAACTTATTGGATACATTATAAACTATTACCAATTAACACATTCATTGTCAAGCATTTTTTACTGATCTCTCCATTTAGGTTAGGTATTATCACATGATATTTTATGTATATTTGTTCCCATCATCAGTGTAAGAAAAAGATCGAAAAGTATTTTAAGATAGAAAATACTATAAGAAAGTCAAAAATTTTATTACTCGAAATTTTATGCAATTTTTAAGGTGGTGTTTGGTGTATTTAATTATGGCAAAGCACACGAGGGCTATCTGCCTAAGGGGAGGGATGCCTTCGTGGAGGACTTTCTAAGGGAAACTGGCTCGTATACATGTTACACATAGGGAAAACCACGAAAACGCCCATGCAGCCAGCCCGTTTGCGGGATTCGAACCTCGAACCGAACTACCAGTGTTCAGCGACTTTACCACTCGCCCGCTGGTGAGCCCGCAATTTTTAAGGAAAATATGATATAGTTTATTCACGTCTAACACACATTCAACTGGCACTGCCAGATCGAAGAACAAGAAGTATATATCATGAAAGATTTACGCCTTCTCTGGTGATTAAAATACATTTCCACATAAAATTTCTTACAAAGCATATTCAGAAGAAACTTCGGAATCTTTTCCTAAAGTATTGAGTGGGTAAGTAAAATTTTCAAATTTAGCAGATAATACAGAGAAATGATTAATTTTAATTAATGCTCTAAATGTTACCAAATTTCTGAGAAAAAAATTAAATTTACTAACAGAAATGTGAGGATGTTGTGGAACAAATTAAACAAACAAAAGATTTTACACACACACACACATATATATAGCTATCAATAAACTGGATCTATCAATAAAGTAGTCTCGGAATATTTTATCAATGCACTAAACAAAACATCTCCAGATCATCTCAATTACAATTGGATGAACAGATACGGATGCTAGAATGAATCTTGATTGTCCATTAACAATTCAGTCAACCATACAAATATCACATAGCCTGCTTCCGAATCCTGCATTCTCGTACACTGTTGGTACACAATCTGCTACATTCGTCAAATTTCTAAAAATTGCAGCACCAGTAGATTGGTAAAATAAAATAAAATAAGCAAACACCACCCAAACGAACTGATTGTCTGCCCACCAGACGACCTTGAATGATAAATACAAAAACTTATGCTACATGGAATAACAACCAAGGCTGCATGGATGATAAAGATCTTATATAGCATAGAACTGCAGCATACTCTGTAAGTACTGCCATGGTAGCTTAGTGGCCACATAAATGGAAAGCTTAGACTATAGAACTTTCTAGCATCAAAAGAGCTACAGACCTCATGAATAGGAATATGTATGTGATCATGTAACACATTGTTTTGACCAAATTTGCATGAAAAGTTAAGCAATTAAGAGTTACTTTGTGTTCTTGAACCCATGCTTGTGTTCTCGTACCAAGGTGATCTGGTCGCTCTCTGGAATGGGTTGTTTGAGGAGGATAAGGATGAGGATCCTATAAAATATCAATTATTTAATAAAGTAATGTAATGAAATTATGCGAATGAAATACACAAACAGAAAAAAATTTTCAGGCTTACAGCTGATCGTGGATGAGGTGGTGCAGAATTGATGCATATATCAGGATGCTGACTGGGTTCATCATGAACAGGAGGACTAGAAGGCTCTCTGTATGTAGGAGGTCCTTGAAAGGGTTTTGGTGGCAAGGCTGGTTTATGATCAACTGATCCATTATCTGTTAGACCTGGAATCAATCATCCAAAAATATATTTTATAAGTAATAAAAGATAGCAGACATCCACAAAGAGAAAGGTTTCCTGAAACCATCATATATTCAATAAAATTGATTTACGACTTCAAACAGAATTATACTTTTAAAACACTTTTAGGAACTTCCTGCCTCTGTCCCCAAAAATATTAACTCCTAACATATTTAAACAAATATCTATCTCACTCACATAAATATTCAACAAATTAGAAAAATTTGCCAATATAAAAGTTAACATCAATGCTGTTTATTTTCATTCCCTCTTAATTACTTTGATCAGAAGCAATGAATTTGAGAACTTGCTTTTTTTAAAATTCATAATATCTTAATGACAAGAATTTCACCATTATCTAGACACCTGTCAGATAATGAATGGTCCCCCATACTAAAATCGTGTAGTACATGCCTCACAAAATAGAAAAGCAGAAGTGACATTTTTTATTATTATCCGAGTTGTAATATTATTTATCCATATTATTTTTTTATTAAAGATAAAATACAACTACAAGAAAAGTCTGATACTTTTCATGTTGAGGACTTTGGTGATAGTAGATTAGCAGGGTAAAACTGCATAATGCCACAAAACAATTTTTTCTCATGCCATACTGAACGTATTGAGGATGGAAAAACTTCATGTAATAATTCTATAAACATGTTTAATACACAAATTCATTCACTGCTTAATTATATTTAATCAGGTTCAAACTCATCATCATTGTCAGAGCATCAAATCTTTCCCGAAAAAATTTGGATGTCCATTTGTTACAGATTATGCTGTATTTTTACTTAAAAAAAATCCCTCCATAAAATGTTCCCTACTAATGTTCATTATTTTTCCAATATTATATTTTCCTTGTCCAGTTAACTTCACAAATGCATTTAATGCTTCATTAGCCTCTTGCCAAATGATCTTAGTTAAACATTTTTAGTTACTCTCTGTGCCTTTTGCTACATATGGATTCAACATACTTTGTACAATGACACCATTAACTAACTTTTCCATGATAGAACTACGGCTATAACTACTAAAAATTCAGCATTTGTAAGCAACATTCTTCCACAAATGGTTCATTTTTATAACTTCCAATTTATTAAATAATTTATTTTCTGAAAGCATAATTAATGAATTACTGGAAGGAAGGCCTTCGATAGTTTTCAGTAAGTAACCAGACACTGATAACCAATATTCTAAAACAGAATTTTGCTTCATATCATTCAGCCACAATTTTCACTAAGCTTTTTGTAATGTTACATTGTTTATATATTTCCAAGCAACAGCAGTCACAAAAATTATACCTTTTGTATTGAGCTCTGGGCCATTAAAAGTTTTGAATAACTTCTTGATCCATAAGTTGCATTAATATTATCCATTTTCACACAAATTGCTGTCGCATATTTTTGTTTCGTTCCCTCATGAAAATTTCTGTCAAGTTTTAAAAACTTTTTAAATAAATAAAAATTTTAAAAAGGTATGCAACATACAATGATGTGGAAAAATTAAGGACGAGACTTTTTTCAATATAACGTTGTGCTAAAGCTTTCCAAATCAACAAATGCAACGTGAGCAGAAAAGACTATATCTAAGCATCGACTTTCATTAAGGTGACTCCTTGTCAGCAGTAGCAAAATAAAATTGCAGCTCCAGAATCATTACTGACAATAAATTATGTGCTGCCACGATGCTCCTTAGAAAGTTCCATACATGTTCAATGGAATTTAGATTCAAAGACCTTGCCGGTCAATCCCTGTGTTCGACATCCTCACTTTCCATCAGCTCTTCGACAGCAACTATGTTATGAAGTGGAGTGTTGTCGTCCATGAAGAGGAACTGAAGACGCATGTAAGTAAGGAGAACCTCGTTACAATAGCAGTCCCCAGTGACTGAACCTCCTTGGAAGATGTGAAGGTTAGTAAAGCTACCAAGCATTACATCTCCCCAAACGAGAACTCCGCAACATCCAAACCGGTCCCTTTTGCTGATGTTGAAGGGGTTAATTGTGTGTTCTCCGCTTTCTCCAGATGTGTATGTGTCTTGAATAACAACTCAAACTAAATCTGCTCTCATTCATAAAGAGTACTCGACCCTGTTAGCTGTTCAATTCTGCACCGCAGAAAATTCCTTTTCCAACGAGTAGAGGTTAATGGTATACACCACACAAGTCGCTGTTCAAACAGACCACCACTGTGCAACCTCCTGGCCATGATAAAATGCAAAAGCGGTCATCCAATCAGCTGTTCCATGCGTCTTGAGATTTCTCCTGCTATTTGCTTACTGTGTTTTTCTTGGCCTATAGGGCAATATACCAGTCGTCCGCTGCTGTGGTTGCTTGTGGACGACCACTGCTGAACCGTCAGAGAGCTGTTCCTGTAGTTTGAAATGCTCTCTAAAGTTGTGAGCAATCCTAAACTCCACAGCCACACTTGTCACACTTCGACCTTCTTCAGTCTTTCCAATGATTCGACATTGGGTAAAAGCATCCAGATGCTGTGTAACAGATTTATTCTTCAATATTTCACACTGATGCAGCAACTCATCATCGTTTAAACTGATATATGCTGTGCGATAGCTTCCCCAAAATGCTGAGCTCACATCTTCAGCAATCTTTATAATAATATTTTGATTCTGTGACTCAAATTATCAAAAAGTACCAAGTTTCTTTAAAATTGCACAAGTAGTTTTTATACTTGATTCCTTCTTTCACAGGTTGAAATTTAGGTTCAATCCAAATAAAAATTGCAGATATTTTCTGATTTATTTTTTTAATTTGTATTTTTTAGTAATTTTGGTAATTCTTTTAATTGTTTTGAATTACAACTTCTAAAACTTTTAAAATCATTTTAAAGTAGATGTATTTCTAAGCACACATGCAAAAAATTAAAGTTTTTTTATTCCTAATTTTGTAATATATATGTGAATTTACATATTGGTGCATTTTAAAATTTGGTATCTTTGTTTCAAGCAATAATAATGCCAAACGTGGTTTACGGATGTAAAAATAACAAATATGATTAAAAATTATACTGTAAAGAAAATTATTTCAAAGAATGAATGATGCACCTTTTTGTCCACTTGTGCACAATGAAAGGAAAAGGTAAGTAAGTTATAAATTAAGAATTTTATCGAATGAATTATTCTTGGCACAAACTTAAAAAAAGTGGATTTAGATAAATTTTTTAATTTCTCCAAGTTTCTCACCAAATTTTTTTTAATTTAATAGTTAGGCAAAATTTGAGTTTTAGAATCGAAATGTGGAAAAAAAACTCGGTATGTGATTCTAGAAAAAGTCAGACTGTATGTCAAAATAATCTATGTTAGAAAAATGCAATTATAAATCTAATAGATATATTAAATCATGCTTTCAACACATGAAAAAAAAGAAAGTTAAATTTCATCAATCGGCCCAGTAGTACAGGAGATACAGAATTCCCCCTCCCCTTTTGTGCAGAATGTACATTCACCATTTCCAAAAGCAAATGACAATTCAAAAACAAGATGCAAAGTATATAGTGCTTGAAAAGCTTTTTTTTTTTTTTTTTTTTTTTTTTTTTTGGCTTATCTATTAAAGACTGCATCCATTGTTGGCATGGGCCTTGAGCAACAGATAGTAAGACTTTGCCCAGCGGTCCCAGTTTTGAAGGAGAATCCCTGGACAACAAATTTGAAGGTCTCCTACTTCTCTTTCCTTAGCATGGAACAACACAAAAAGACTCCCCCGTTTGCCCTACATTTTGAGTGCCCCCATGCCACACAGACACTATACATTTAACAAACAGCCATGCTTTATCAGGGATTCGAACATAAGACCAACAAATGATACAGCAGTCAGAATCACTACCCACTATGTTGATCAGAGAGGCATCCTTTTTTTTACTGAAATATAGCTGTAAAATACTATGAATAAAAATAATATTACTAAAAATTGAATACATTATTAAGATGCATATATACTTATATCTTAATACACTTCATTTCTTATAAAGATACACAATACAGTGAAATAATTAAAAATACTGAAACTGAAATCTGAGACCTTAACACATTGACTGCCAGTCTCTAGAGATGGGGTTGATAGTTATTGCCTTGACATCGAAGTAGATTGTACCCAGAAGCCAACATACTAATTATTGGAAATATGATTTAAAATTATTAATGAAATATGATTATTTTATATCCAAGTATTATTTAAGCATTTCCATATGGAATTTCTTAACTACGTGCCAGCGCGTGATTGGCACTGCACAACAATTTTTTTCCCAAATGCCACATTACGCGCTGGCGCGTGATTTGCAAAAAGTGAATCAAATAAGTAAAATGAACAGTATGCATTTTTTTATATAAATCTCTATTACAAACATATATATTACAAATGAATTTATTACATGATAATTATAATGGTATTATTAATAAACTTACATTTAGATGTTTATTTGTGTGTAATCTTAGAACAATCTAGGCAGTATCTGGGAGATCCTTCCAAACTTTGCACACATACATGGTATCTTTTTTTCGTTCCTTCCGAATAACAGCTTTTACACTGCTTTCGCAGTGTTTTTCCACCTTTTTTCTCTTCCGCGTTTTTAGTACATGCTCCGATTCAGATGATGACACACAGAAGCACGATGAACAGATGGCTGTTTCAATAAGCATCTTATCATGGATAGACGATTGTCATAAGTGACATATTTCTATTGGAATACTTGTTGTAGATAAAGTGGAATTGGACATCATTATTTGCAAAATATGCACAAAAATTTTCGTGGGCCACCTAATCGTTTTTCTTTTCACAAGGATAATAAGCAAGCATCTGGTCTTGCTTATCAATACCTGCCATAAATTTATTATACTCAATTACAGGTAGTGGTTTTGTTTTAACTTCACCTCTTTTGTTTGTTTTTTCCACCATATCATTTTTATATTCATTGGAAATATAAGTGATGTCTCTCTTATCCTTCCACTTAGCAATCATCACACCATTAGTATATTTTGCTACAGTTTGCCCTTTCTTCAGTTTTTTTTTTTCTTTTACCTCTTTCGGAAATGTCTTCCTGTTGTTTCTAATTGTCCCAGTACAATGAGTTTTTTCTATCAGAAAGACATTTTGCCAGGTTCATAGCTGTTATAATAATTGTCCCTAAATACGCGATGCCCTACCCAATCCAACATTCCCTCAAGTAAATTCATTACGACTTTCTGTGCATGTCCTTTCCACCAGAATCATCCACATACCTGTATATACCATAAAGGAGAACCATACCATCAGGGTTGTGATCATGTACATCCTTGATACCATATTTGTGACGTTTTATTTGTAACACTGTCTAAATATAAGTCGTCCACGCCATAATACCATCGACTCATCTAAACTAATCTCTCGTCCTGGGTAATATTTTCAGATACTCGTGCGTTGAACAAATTTACCATACTTCTTATTTTATATAATCGATCCTTTGGAATTTCTGTATCTGCTCTGGAATTTTTGCGAAGTGCAATGCCCTCAGTAATGATAAAAACCGATTCCTGCTCATGTTTTCAGAAAAAACATGTAAACCAAACAGTGAATCGGTTTTCCAATAATCTTGTATGTGGTTGATTCGTATAGTTCCCATATGTAAGATCAATCCCACAAATGTCAAAAGTTCCTCTTTTGTAGTGTCTTTCCAGGCATTGATTAGTGAATGTTTCTTTTTTTCACGGTGAAAAAGTACTTTATGAGCATAATCATTAGTTTCAGCAACTACTTCCTCCAAGATACCGTCGGTGAAAAAATGCCGAAAGTAATCCGTAGGATTGTTACCTGAAACAGTTTGGAGCAAACACTCGGATTTTATGAAAGAAAACTGCTTCATGGATGTTGAATCGTTTTCCCAAGTTAAATTTTCCATTATAGCGGAATTATCGCGCGGAAATGTTGCACCTTGAACGATTTGTTCATCATCTTCATCTTCAGAATCCGAAATATCATGGGCATCATTGGGAGGAATGAATTCTTCGTCACTGTCACTGTCGTAGCCGTCGTAACTATAATCACTCGGGTACTCGTCCGATAGCTCAGCCAACAAATTTGCAATTTCATCATCCGTTAAATTCTTATTATTTTGAACTTTTCTTTTTTGGGGGCGCGAAAACCCTGCACAATTATCATCTGTATAACTCATATCACAAGATTATTTTTTCAATCAAAAATTAAATATTAAATTCGAAACCACGATTATTTACAGATAGTTTCTACATAAACTACATGCCAATACCAGCAGAAATACCCTGAAAGCAATGCCAAATAAACTAGAGAATGAATAATCAGAAGTGGATTTTCCCGCGCCAGTGCGTGACTGGCTACTGAGACATCACCCCACATCACGCGCTGGCGCGTGATTGGCTTTTCGGCGATAGCGCCACGCCGCGCGCAAGCGCGTGATAAGCAGTCAATGTGTTAAGCGAGAAACAGCAACAAATCCTTGTATTTGTAATTTGTAGTAATTTCTGAATTAATAATTTGAAAGGCTATGCTGACGATTAATGCTCTAGTAACTAATATAATGTGATTGGCAAAACTGAAAGATTACACTACAGATGCTTTTAATGCAAACTACTACTTACAAATGAAACTATTTAAAACTGAAATAATGAACATACCATGATCATAGGACGCAAGTGCTGCATTTTGCAGAGCAGGAATATCATCTCGCTGAGCTGAATGCATAGAACATGACTGAGACGTTGCAGGAAAACTACTATAATCGATGTCCGGGTTTCCAGATGCCTGAAATTTAAAAAAAAAAATTATTCATAGATAATCAATGTCTTGATTTCTATTTAAAAAAAAGGGATATATAACCAGATTTGGCTGATTAATTGAATATCATAAAAGCATATATCGGTCTTGAGATACAAGCCTTCATGGACTAATTTCTGAGAGAATCTACTACTTACCCTATTCCAAAAATAAAGTAATTATTTACTTTGCACATGGAGAAAACTACACAAACCTCACACAGTTAGTATCCAAGATTAACCATTACTGTTCAGTGACTTTATTCACTCGACCATTATTGCATTATATAACTACAGTCAAATAGCTAACTAACAATTCATATAATCTTAAAAGAGAAAAAGTAAAATCATTTTGATAGTGCCACTCTGCTAGAAGCAAAGAAAATGTGTACATGCAAACTTCAAATACGGGAAGCTAACGTACAATATTCCACTGCCAAAGAAGCAGGATGTGCAATTACAAAAATTTAATGAAATTTAATTCACTGTTTTTTCTCATACAAAGTTCAGAATGTTAAGAAATTTTAATTCAAATGTTAAAGACTAATATGGTAAAATGGCAAGAAAGGAAATTTGGGAAAATGAAAATTCTGTCCACATTTTCGAACAGATGCATAAATTTCTTTGTGCAATTAATTGACATAAAATGAATTAGGTAACAGAAAACTAACATTACCAATTAATGAAACACTACCCTATATATCAAGTAGATCAAATCAGCCATGACTATGGAGACTTTAAAACAAGTTACTTAATACTTTCCAAACACACACATGCATTAAAGAAAAAGAGCCAGTTCAATTGCTCAATTGCATAAAAATATCATATGTATATTACAAAATATGAATATATTACAAATTACAAATATGAATGCAAATTACAAATATGAATATATTACAAAACATGCAAAATCAGACAAACAGGAATTAACTGCAGTATATTTCACTGTAAACTCCCCATGTGTGTTCTATAATCGGGTACACCCGTACAATGTACTAGGTCATAGCCCATGTTCATTATACTGGAAGAGAAGCAATTTTCTTAGTAAAATAAATCAGTTTATTTACAACATAACAACTTTTACATTTAAGATGTTACACAAGGCACAGAATGCAAGTGGAACTACACTACTAACTGACATAAAGATACAGCTACAGTTACATACATACAGTTTCTTTAAAGCTATAGTTTTAGGAACATTTAATAATTCAATTAAATAAACAGAAAGTAAATATTAGTTAATAAGTCCAATTATGGTTAAACTGCCACAGTAACCCCCATAACATGATGCAATTAAATAAACAGAAAGTAAATAATAGTTAAGAAGTCAGTCATGGATAAACTGTCACAGTATTTCCCCCAAGTACTGTAGTTACTGACATATCGTACATAGTGAGGCTTAAATCTAATTACTCTACTAGAACAAGTAGTTTTTTCAGATGTAAAGATACTTGATGATTCTGCTGATCTAGTGGATGGGGCTGTTGAAATATCACTAGGAATAACTGGTGCTGTTGGTGAACTGTTAACTAGGAATCACTGGAGTCATTTTTACATGTTTACTAGAAATACCTGGAGTTCATGCTATGTTATACTGAGTAAAGAAGGCTGGCTTCAAATGAGAAATTCTGATATGTATTCTTTTCCATTTATCAGAATGGTGAAGTATTTACCATTCCATCTGATAATATAACAGGGACCATTATACAGTTGTGTCAATGGTACTTTTACTATGTCACTATGCACAACATGAGAGCAAGATTAAGGAAGGGTGCACCAAAAAGAAAGGCTTTTAGTACCTGCAGAAGTACAAGCTGAAGATATATCCCACATGGTGCTGCAAAAATGCTGGTGGTAATGCATGGTAATAATAATAAAGGTTTTCAGCAAGTAACTGTTAATTAAATATTTTATTTGTCTATGAGTGCTCACCCATTGAACACATATTTTGATAATCTAGTAGCTCAAATCCTGACGAATGGTGGATAGCATCAGAACTTTCTTCTTTTTGCTTATGTGTAGTGTAACTAAGAGTTAACTTTCATTAGTGAGTTAGTTCTCCATGAAGGCCCTTTCTTTAAGCAGATTGGCCTCGCCTATTTTGCCTTAATCAATTAACCAAACTAAATCAAAAACTAGTTAATGAAATTTTAATGATTTAAAATTATTTAACATTTAAACTGTGACAGAAAACTCAACATCTGGTATTTTATTTATATGTTTAGCCAGTTAATATTACTTAGCAGTTATATTAATGCATTGAATTTCTATAAAACATCAAACTATTGTGATGGGACATAGTATCTTGAAACAAATCTATTGAAAACTTTATGTATATTATATGCAAATTTAATACTGAAAGCAAGCAAAACTTCACAGTTACAAACAAAATTTAACGATATATAAATCCGCATACTACAGTGATTAACTCTGTAGAGATATTGGGATTTTTTTAGAAGCAGGAGACATGAAAAATGAGCAATGCCCTTGCCACGACTTAAACTTGGACCTCTCAAATACATGCCGAGTGTGCTACCATTACATCATGAAATGTTGGAAGGAGGGAGAAAGTACCTTATATCTTAGTTCAAATTTTGGTCAATTGATTTGCTGCATATGTGTTTCCATGGCTTTCCACGTATGTAAGGTAAGTACAAACCAACTTCACTTTAGAAAATTCTCCAAGAAGACTGTTTCTTTAGACAGACAGCCCTCGTATTTTTATTTAAAATAAAAAATTAGTACAACAAATTTCATCTGCGAAAACATCTCAAGTAAAGTTTCGAGTTCTGAATTATTATGTTAGTTACAAACTAATAAGTTTTGAGTGAATGACTTTATTGCAAGGAATATTTTGGTGATATTTATTTTGTAACAAGCAAGGCTTAAAATAGAGAAAAAGTACTAAGTCAGGGGGAAAATGAACTCTTTGTTTCAATATTTAGTATAAGATCTATGCAAATGAATTTAAAAAATACAAGTGTCCAAAAGAAAATGTGAGCCACTGTATATTCATAAAGTATCCAATGTGCAGATAACTGAGAAAATGTTCAATAACCTATTTCTGTTAAATAACAGAGAATGTACCCCTAAAAATGAAAGTTATGATGTTCAAAGTACCTGTCACAATAGTACAAAACACAGTGGAAACTAAAAACTATTTCAAATAATTAGTCAAAAAATTTCAATTATTTCTGCTTTCACAATTCCCGAATGCAAACTCTAAGTGATGAATTTCAGTATTTATAAAATTTTCAAACAGACATTTCTGTTAGAAAGGTTAATTAGGCTAACTGATATTAACTAATTACTAACTTTTTATGCTGAAAAATAAATTTCAGTATCAATTGCAAAAGCTTTTTGGAGGAGGTTACAGTACTTTTAGTTCTTATTTCATTCTTGATTAATAATTAATAACAGCGTGCCGCAAGCATTAAAGCATATTATATAAACTCTTATAAAAAATATTAGACCCCCTAAAATGTCCTGCTTTTCTCCCGGGAAACAAAATTCATAAGTTATCGAATATTTTACATTATACTGCAATTATTTCGTGAAATCTTCAGAAAGATTTGTCTATTTAAATCTTATTATGCTTTCATATCTCAACAGGAAAACTGGAATTGAGTGTCACATGACGCTCTAACTCCACCTGGAGTTTCTTCTCACGCAAGAGGTGGGAAAAAACGGTTCGGCAGTGACGCGTGGAACAAGGCATCCGGTGTAGGATACAAGGTCATCTACCCACCCATTCAGTTGCCCTTAACGACTATCACAGCTCCACACAGGAAAATATTAAGAGGTAAATCACAAGCAATCGATTGACAAAAAAAAAAAAAAAAAACATTAAATAACCTCTTTAAATGGGGAGGGATGGTATTTTTTATTTTCCCTTTTTTTACCAAACCGCAGAAGAGATTACGGTTTTGATTTTTATTTGGGATCTGCCCCCTTTCGTTCTTTTTCTGTTCATAGTTATAATACGGTCAAATTTTTAACATGTTGCCTATCTCTGAAGTTCTGACCTAATGAAGGCACTATATGAAATTATCTTCAAAGCCATAAGACTATTTTTGCACTGATATTACACTGCATTCTTACTTTTTCCTTTTGTAGTGGTAACGACGCAACAAATACCTTTCAGATACAAAGTCATGAAATTAGAGGTACTATCAAATTCCAAATAATCGCATATAAACTAGAACCACAGCCAATCTTGAGATTCTAAAAATCCAGATAATGGGATTGTCTCTTTTTGTGCACCATTTATGTATTTACTATAATGCATAGTGAGAAAATTAGCAGTTTTTCATTCATCGTATTTTATTTCAACAAAGATTTCAAAGCAACATGAAAAAAATGTATCCCAGTAAAAAGCAACTACATAGCACATTTTTTTTTTTTTTTTTTTTTTTTTTTTTTTTGAAAAAAATGCACAATGATCCCTCTTCCCCAAACAGACAACTCATTTCTATTTCGATTAAATTATAACAAAGAAATTTCATTTTTATCTGCGCATGTCATATCTAAACAAATAATCCTACTTTTACTGCGCTAATGTTAAACAGGAAACCAATTTTTATTGAGAAAAATAAAGCTTTTAATTCTAACTGAAAAGACGCCCAGTCGGTATGGTGGTCAGGGTAGCTGACTGCGATGCCGAAGGGCCTGGGTTCGAATCCCGGAGAAGGCATGGTTGTAACTGTCCGTCCCTTCATAGGATAGGCGATAGTGGCCCACCTATTAGGCGCCTCTATAATAAAAAGGCCACCGCACCCGGCCTTGTATAAATTAATGGACTGGATTACATTTGTAATTGTTCACAATCTGCCATTGGAGGGGGGAGGAACTCTAACTGAAATAAAATTATACTAAAGCAACAGAAGAAAAAAAAAAAAAAAAAAAAAGTAAATAAATTAACAAGACGCTTAATATTACACGACTATAAAGAATAAGCTGATCTCGATTGTTTGGGATATCTGCAGTCTGGATAACTAAAGTGGTGTGCACACTTTT